CTGGATCATTTGGATTCTGAGTAGCCCAGTTGCATAATTCCACTTATCCATTCACATCAAGCACCTACTGTCTGTAGATCACGTCTGTCAAAAATCAATGTGTTGGAGAAGGTGCCAAAAGATCAGTGACGGTCGGCTCTGTGGGTCCAAGCTCCAAAATACAAGCGGCACCGCCGCGCCCACTGCGCATCGGCAGCCCACAGCACCTGCAGTGCCACCTGGCTTCCAATTTGCAGCTCGAGAAATTGAGCAAGGATCGGAGATGTATCCAGATACCATCGCAGCGCCACAGGGTCTATTCGTGCGGCGCGAAATCAACATGAACAACAGCACTGCTGTTGGAACGCCGCCTTTTCTTGATACTACATTACTACCAGTCAAATGTTTTTCAGGTACGTAAAATACTGAGACAAATGCTTGTCCTTGCGCCACCAGGCGCTACATCCTGTTGAGAGCAGGTGCTGGCGGCAGTAAAATGCCGACACGAAGCTGCTTTATTTCGAGGAGTCCGTCGATCTTTCATTCCTCCCTTGCGCGTCAATGCTTTCTTTTTGTCGTGCATGCGTCGGTCCCGATCATTTGAGGCGATTTGCGCACAAAATTTTCAAATACCCTCGGCCCGCTTTATTTGCACTTTGCGCTAACAGCGCTAATCGTGCTGTTTGCTGAAACAGCCAAATGTTGGCCCTTTGCCTTTCCCCAGCACCACTCTCTATACTTTTTTCTGCACACGCACAAACAAAACCCTTTGCCTGCGTTGTTATTACAGCCCCTTGCATGGTAACGGATACTTTTGGCAAACATCACATTGATCCAAAATAAATAATGGAAAATCCGGTCAGCTATTTAAGGAGCGGTCTGCAGCAGCCGCTAAGCAGATTCGGCGTGGTTTGTTTTTGTTTGCTTGTTTTTGTGTTGGGCGGTGGCCTTGCCAGTGACAATCGTCTTGCTAACCGTGGATCGTCTTTTCGCTCTATTTTGATCTCTTTGCATGGCATTTGCGATCCTAAGCCAAACGGATACCCAGACGACACTAAAATGGGAGTGCTATGCTGTTACAAAACAGCGTAGCAATGCCATGCCATGCTATGCCATGCTATTTTTTTTACTCCCGCCCCTGTCATTTGTACAAGCACACAAGCTCATGATAACGCCAGCCCCACTTTTTCCACCTGGTCTCTCACACACCCACCCCACATATCATTTTCTTGCTCTTGCCCTCGCCTATCCTCCGGCGCGCGCTCTCTCTCTCTCTTAATACTCAGTAATCATTTTTTATCTTTTTTAAATATAGACTCGATTTGTATTTTTTGTATTTTTTTGGACACTTGCACAAAACAAGTCAAGCACTAACATTTGCCCTTGCTGTTTCCACTGCCACTGTCGCTGCCTGTCTACACTTGGCACGGGTATCTTTCCACATTTGCCTGCAGCTGCTGGTTTTGCTACGACCGAGTCGGAGGAACAGCGCGTTTTATTGTGGTTGCATTTCGCTTTATTGCGCCTCTCCAAAGATCTTTCCAAAATCAGCATCTGTGCAGAAAGAAGGGCATTCGCTACAGTGGTATATTCCTTGCACAAACAACATTGAGGTGCTGTGCTCATACCTTCATTTTTCTTTTTGTGGCTCCCACTATCCTTCTCTTTCTCATCACAATCATTATTGCATTTACGAGCACTTTTCCAACTATACACATATTCCATCCGATTTGAATATCTACAAATAATTTTTATTTACACTATTTGCGCCACATCTGAAGTTTTGATCCAAAGATCGCATTTTTATCATTTATATTAGTTTTCGTCCATATACCTATCCCTTCACGTTTATCCGTCTTGCTTGATTTGCAAAAGCCGCGTACATTTTGCACTAACCCAGCCACATACTCGTATTATTTCTGCCATTGCGGTCACACTGACATTACAAACGATATCTAACGCCGGCTAGCAATGACTACGGAAACCACGCTGCGCACGGTGGATGTCACTAAGAGGACGCAGTTGAATGCTGAGAACGCTTGCTTTAGGAATGACAGCGATATAATAGAGCCATTCCACTCACTTCGGACGCCAACTCAAAAGCTAGCTCGGGGCCTGCTGCATGCGCGTTCGGTGTGCTCGGTCACTGGGCACAGCTACAACCGGGTGCGGCGCCGGTCACCGCTTTGTCACGACGTGCTGGAACTCATACTCGAGGAGGCTGCGGTGTCGTCGCAGGAAAGCCTACATTTTGATATTGCGACATCGGGGTTGGTCAGACCGGCGACTGGTACCAAAAGCAAATTGATTCATCAGAGCGATGGTGGCAGACATACTGAGCAGGGTCAGAAAAGCCCACCTATTTTGGATCCAAGGCCAGAGGCAAGTAAACCGCATTATGCGCATTTTTTTTATGTTTGCTTCATAGCACTGTACGCTTTGGTATTCGTCATTATTTAATCGTTTTTGCATGCTTGGGACAATGCCTGTGCAAATACCCGCTGGCGCATACTAATTTTCAAATGGAATGTGAGATAGGAAGTGCACATTACATGCCTCGTGCCTATTGTGAACGCACTCCCTGCCAATACGTGCCTTATTTTACACGTATGCAAACGCTGTACAAACCTGTATTTTGTGCCACATATAAAGCCAACTAAAAAAGTGTTTTGGCCCTTCACGCAAATAACTTGTAAGCAGAAATAGGTGGACGTAGATGAACTAGTTGGCGCCAAATCCGGCACCAACACTAGCGCATCTAACGACGGATTAGACACCGGGACGAGCTGCAACTCCAACCCCAACTCCGACGCTGGCTTTGGTGAGCTCTCCACTCCATCTTCGGGAGTAGCATCGCCAGCGTCAACTGCGGAGTGCTCGCGCTCAAGCTCATACAGAAGCACGCAAAGCAGCGATATAAGTGATGACAGTATGTCCACAAAATCTTCGCCAAAATGGTGGCGCCGCCACTTTCGAGGTTCAAAGCAAAAATTGATACCAAGTCCACCAGAGCTTGCACCGGATAGCCCGGATGAATCCAGCGGCACCAGTATTCAGTTCGACGATTCAGTATCAATGGCACTATCATTTTCTTGCGAGAAGTCGCAGCCAGCAGTAGTGAATAATGCAACCAGCGCCTCTCGGTTGACAATGCTGACCAAGCTCAAGCGTTCTGTATCATCCAGAGCTCCCTCAAAGGTCGCAAGCTCTCATTATGCTCCTACTCCTTCTTCTCCCGAAAAGATCAACTCAAAGACCTTGTCGTCATCTCTGAGCAGGATTCCAAAAAAACTTGCTCGTGCTGTCTCTATTTCGTCCTCCCAATCTGCTTCCGTCTCGACAATGCTGCGAAGGAGCTCTGTTGTCGGCACGCGTTCTTTTTGCAAAACACCCGCCGCTGATGTCGCTTCTACTGCTGCTGCTGCTGTTGCCGCTACGACGACCGACATAACAGACAGTTTTGACGAAGCGCATGTTGTAGCCAAAGAGCATGCGTTTAAAACACAGTGGACCATGTTTAAATGCAAGGGCATGTTCAATCTCCATGTTGTCAGCGTGCCCGCGAGTGTGTCTTCCCTCAACCACAAGGACGTATTCTTGTTCTACCCGTGTTTATTTCGCCAGATCGGTGCTAGCTTGTTTGCCAGGCACGCACCAGTCCCGATGGCATGCGATGACTGGGCGCCAGCTAACGATAGCTTACATAAAGAAAGTATCCACAACCACATGCCTCCGGGGACACTGCTAGATCAAGAATACAATCGGCGAAAATCCATATGCTCCCTGGCAGCGCGAGTAGTCTATGTCTGGATTGGCGCGCATGCATCGGCCATCAAGCGGGATGCAATCACCAGAGTTGCCATGGAGATTCGCGACAAGGAGCTTGTAGGAAGAGCTGCGGTGGTGGTCATTGACGAGTCGACCACCGCAGACAGCGCACGCAGAAAATTCTTTGCCCAGCTGCACGCCGCCGAGCACAACGGTGGGGCACCGCTGCCAGGTGAAATGTCAACAATATATAGCCAACTCACGCCACTGAGCAAGGCGGGCGACGACATTGACTTTGAGCGTGCGCTGGAGCGTCGCAAGGTTATTTATGGATTCTGGGAGTCTGTGCCGCCAGCTACAATCCTCTCTGTTGGCGCCGATATCAACGCAGCCATGCTCCTTAAGGTGCCAAAGGGTGGAGTGGTGGTACTGGACACCTGGTCCGACGTGTTTGTCTGGTGGCGTGACGAGCCCGGCAACGTATCTGTTCGCAAGTGTGCAATCAACTTTGCCAACATTTTGGTTCAAGATGTGTGCATCCCCCCGCGGCCAAAGTCAGCAACAGTTTGGCATGAGCTTCGCGGATTTGAGCACGTCATTTTTAAAACAAAGTTTTCAGACTGGCCGTTCGTGTTTGCTGACTCGATGGCATCCTCCACAAAGTCTGCCCGCCGCTTCGTGCCGCCAGCAAACACAACTATGCCGCCAGTTGCTCTGCCCGTACGCTCAGTGTCTCGTCTGATAAGCGCCTCTTCTATTCCCGCTGGCTAACCTTGGATGTCTATACGCGCAACATTTTAATATACATATGAGCGCCGCCTGTTTCCACGTTTGAATTTTGATTTGGTCAAGGGTAACTTGTACGTGTGTGAGTCGCGAGTGCCGAGCCGCCGAGTCGGAGCAGATGATGTCTGTATCTTTTAAGGTGAACATTCGCTCTCTGCCTTTTTTCGCTTTTCTCTCCCTTTTCAAATAAATTCAAATTTGTATTTTATTTCTTGTATTCGTACAATCAGGATGGCAAACATCGCCGCAACATTCATCTCGGGGCTAGTCCTTGGGTCGGGAGCCGTGTATGCATTCACGTCATACTTCACAGAGCAATCGCACGTTATAAACTATAAGCTTCACCGGGCATCAGCGTTTCTCAAGGAGGCGGCTACTGGCGAGAAACAGTCGATCCCCGCTTGGAAGGATACCAGGCCTGATGTAATGAACAAGTACCAGCAGTTTGCCTCGCGTATATCTGGAACTGCCATTCCGCTCGCAAAGACCGGGTGGAATGCTACAATATCATCAACCGCAAGCAGCGTAGCCGATATCGACATTAATTCTGACAAGCTGGTGTCGATAATCTGCAAGGGCAACAAACCACAGTAGCTCCGATGAGCGCTCATGGATTTGACCAGTTCTCATACTTTTCTTTTGTCCATTTTGCGTCAGTGTCTATAAAAAGGATCGACTTGTTTTATTGCGCTCGTTGTGCTTATGTATTTTGAAAAGTTTAAAAAATGACATTGTGCTGCCATCCAAGACACACAAGCGCCGTATTTGGATTGAAACAACGAACTAGTGCAAAGTTGAGCCATCCAGTTCTGGTGAGAACCTGCTTTCAGACTCCTCGGAGGTGGATCCAGTTCCGCCGAAATGGCGGTGTACCCAGCGCAACCGCCGCTGCCGGCGCTGCTGTGCCTCCTGGTATACTATTGACTCTGCCGCACGCTCAAATTCACTGCCGTCAGTGTGCTCTCTCATGTCAGTGTCCACTAAAACTACACTGCCATCACCTTCTTCGTCATCGCCATCGTCATCGCCATAATCATCGCTATTGCCATTGACATTCCCCTCCATGTTAATACTGTTGGAGGTACTTGCAGTGTGCGTGCCGCTATGACTTCCTAAACCGCCAGAGTCGTCAGATCTGCTTGAGCTTCCAGAGTCGCTCGACCCGGCACTGTCATCGCCACTTTCAGCATTTCCAAAGAGGTTTCCAAGCAGCATGTTTGTCATTATCTGATTAGTCAGCGATGCGTGGGCCATGTTGCTGAGCCGCATGTCTTCATTTTGGCTTATTATCTGACCCATGTCTCTAAGGCAGCTCTCGCTAACTGCAGGGAATGTGCGCGGGACGCTTCTAGCCAGCCGACTACTGTCGATGCCCGGCGGCAGAGTAAAGTGGCCCGAGTACTGCAATGCTGATTGGTACGGATCCTGCGCATATACCATTTCAATATATGCGGCCTTGGAAGACTGGTCGATCAGATTAGTCTCTGCAAGCTGCCAGCCCTTCACCAGCGGGAAGTTTGTGCGGTGAGCTGCCACTGGCCCGCCCTTTGCCAAGCTAAAAATGTGTACCTCACTATCAATGCCAGAGACGGCGACAATCGGCAGGTAGGGATGACCCTCGACAATGTTGACGATCTCGCTGTCGCCCGTGATGACCTGCACAATCTCCATGGTCTCTTTGTCCCAGACAAACAATCTGCCGTCATCTGAGCCTGAAGCGACGTACTGGCCAAACAGATAGTTCACGTCCTTGGTTGTCTGAAAGTTACAATGTCCCGTGTACCGCCGGCAGGGCAAAACAACAGGAACCACCGACTTGAGACCTGCATCACTTGAATGGGTATCAGCGAGGCCTGACTGGGAGCTAGAGTCGGTAGTATAGTGTGAAGAGTTACTGATTGTGCGATTGGTTGTGCGCCGCGGCAAGTACTCACATGTATCTCGCGGCCAGCCACCCTCGCTTGGTGGCATGACCAGCACATCTGAATCGATCTGGCCGCTGTAAAACCGCGGGCGAATATGAGCCCCAATGCTGCTTTCGCTATCACCATCACTATCACTACCAGAGTTGTCGCCCATACTGTAGTTAGATCTGGATCTGGACCTGCTACTACTGCTGTCCGTAATCGACATTCGCTCGTCATTTGTGGGGCTAGTAGCAATACTGCGCCCAAAGCCAGTGCAAGAAAACGGCGCGTTCAAAGGAAACGCAGGCATGATATCAATTCCAACATTCTCAAGCTCTTCGCAGCCGCCATTACACCGCTCACTGATCGAGGGAATGTACCTGTGCCACAGATACGCATAGGGCAAATCACTGGTTTGTGTTTGGGTCAGCGAGCTCCAGCATTGCTCAAGCTGGGTTGCAGCAGTTGCGTATTCTGATGGGCTGCTTCCTGCAAACGCATTGCCGGCAAATGCGCGGTAAGCCGCTTCAAATCTGTCAGCCACAATTTTCACTTCACATAACAGATTGACCCCAAGTCTTTTGGGCATCTCGAAAAATCGCTCGTTTTCGTGGAAAAGGCATTTGAGGATATACTCACTGGCGTCGCCATCGTCTACGAGACCAACCACATTGCAAAACCCAGCAAGTGTGCGTGACTCCTCACAAACGATTTCCGAGCTGGAACCAATCTTAGAGCGCAGCTCGCCCAGCCGATATGACAAGTCCCCAAACTCTGCTCGCATCATGTTCAGCTGTGGGTCATTGATGCTGCCCACTAGCGGCTGGAGGGCCAGCAAGAACAGCAGTGTGTCCAATCGCGCACTGTCCCAGGCCAAAAGCACACGATTATATCGTGCGAGCATGTTGTAGCGATTCAGTCGCAGTGCGGCAGAATTGTCCCTAAATGCGGCTTCGAGGTCGCTTCTGATATCTCGGAGGTTGTTTGAAAGATTGCTTGCGGCTCTGGAGCTCAGTGGATCGAAATTCGGGCTCGAGTGCCCGTGAAACCGCTGGCTCCATTTTTGGCGAAAAAGAGTCGAATGAATACAGGTGCGGTTGTTGTGAAAAATAGATCGAACGCGCTCACGGTCCAAACCGGCATCTGTATGAAATGCCATGAGCAGGCTTTGAAGGCGCGTCTTGTCGCCCGAATTGGCAATTTCCTCGAGAGGCACAAGCGCCCGCAGCGCTCTTTCCGACGGCTGGACGCCCTCGTCTTCCAGCTGCCTACAAGCAAACGTCATGGCATCAAGGGCCTGCGGCAGTATGTTTGCGACCATGCTCGCCACAAAAGTGCGAAACACTATGTCAACCAAGCTGCGTTCGGTGGCTGTCAACGCCAAGTCGGGATCGCTAGCACGGATGCCTACTGCCTCCAGCCTAATAATTGCTGTTTTCAGGACGCTTGTGTCAGCTTGGCAGACCCTGCAGTGGCTCGCGTCTACAGCTGATGAACAGTCCATAACAAAACTATCTGAGCTAACTCCCGCATCGTATGAAATTTCGGTATGGCTAACCTGGCAGTCTGAACTGCCAGTTTGGATGTTGTCAGTGGATTCGCTGGTTTCGCTGGTTTCGCTGGTTTCGCTGGTTTCACTGGATTCGTTCAAATCGTCGCTGGTGAACAAGTATGGCGCCTCCTCTCTGGTGAGTATGTGGACACCGAGCGACCGTCCGCGCGTGAAATCGCGTGCGCGGTGGTTCAAAGCAGACGCCCTGTTATCGCTGCCGCCAATATCACCACTGCTGCTAGCATCTACCGGGGACGGGTGCTCTGGCACTCTGCTTCCAGAGCGCACGCGCTTCACTGTCGGTGGTGATTGGGAATCGCTTACGACGGCTCTGCTGCGCAATCTCTTTCCTGCTTCGCAAAGGAGAGTGCGGGTGGCGCTCATGTATGCACTCGACAGGTTAAGATCAAACAAATACACATAGTCGTAGCACCAGCTGCCGATCACCTGGTTTGGAGTGTCGCGTGAAAACCGCAGCCCAGTGACCATGTTGTCAGATATGCGCTCAAAAACGTCGTCTTCGCTTGGCGACGCATTGCGGCGCAGACGGACAATGCACCTGTCGCCAGACCAGTTGCTGTAATAGTTTCTTTGAATGTCATGAGCCGATCCCAGCTGCGGCATTCGGCGATCATGAACCATGATAGATGTGATGGACCCGCCGACTGCAAATATCGACGATTGAAACGGGTTGGTATCCAGCGCGTGAAGCTCGGCATGCAGCGTTTGGTAGTCGGCGACTATGTGGCCACCTCTTGTCGATGCAGCGTGTCTGTGCCGCAACGCTGGTGCTGGTGCTGGCAGCGGCTCGCGGAGATCAAAATGCCGCGCCGTGCCGTCCTCTGAGCAAGACAGAAACTCGTGCGGCTGATCGTACATTACTGCAATGCGTTTGACCGGGGCCGAGTGCACAGCAAAGGTGCGCACGCAGCAGTCGCCAACTTCCAATGTATCGCTGAGTGTCGGCCTGGATGTGGTAGCGTGTGTGCTGGCGGCATCCGCTCTGGACAAAATGCGGCCAATGTCAAACACTTTGATCGTGTAGTCCATCGAGCATGCCACCAGAAGGTGGTCATTGGGAACCGGCATGACCTTCAAATCAAATACGCGCTCGTTAAACCCAGTCCGTAGCTTGCCGATCCGAGATCCATCTCCAGCCGCGCGCCAAACACAGATTGTCGAGTCGTCTGATCCGGAAAATAAGTATCGGCCATCCAGCGACCAACTAAAATGTGGAGTGTCAAAACAAAGAGTATGAATAAAAAATAATACGTCATCGTCAACGCCTCAGTCGACTCAATGGATATTTGCTCAGTGGATTCAGCAGGCATATATGACTTACCACAGCGCGTTAACGCAGCCGTCGTGGCCTAGGAGCGACTGCTGAAGCTCAATCCTCTTGATGTTGTGCGGGGCATGCGTCCACTTCTCTATGCGCTCGCATGCTTGTCAAAATGAAACGCAATTAGAAACCCATGTTTGACAAGTGCGATATGCTCGAGCTGTGCAAGTAATAAGAAAAATCAGTATTTTTTGCATATTCACTTACGAATTTCGGGCTGTGTCGATGAAAAACCAGTCTGGCGCCGTCTGTACAAGGCTGGCAGGGCCATTTGACAGAGCAATGTGTGCGTGTGTGCGTCTGCGCGTGTGTGATTGTGTCGCCAAAAAATAATGTCAAGTCTGAGCGCAGTATTCCAAGTTGGTGGAATTTCAAATTTGTTATTTTTGTATGTTTCAATATTTTGTGTGCGCGCAAGGTTGAGGGGATGCAAAAAGAAAATTTGTTAAATGGATAAAAATGTGGAGAAAAGGGCCACGTAAAAAAATTAAAAATTAAAAATCCGTTAAATTGAGAAAGGTCTCGTGCTGGACGCTGGCCACCACCATTGCACATCACAGCATTTGATCGGCAAGGCTGTCTTGATGTGCCGCCCTGCTCCAGGCCGCATGCCGTCGGCTGATAAGGACGCGCTGAAACATGGTGGGACAATCAAAGCAGTCGCATGCCTCTACGGCTTGCAATGCGTCTGCCCTATTTTCACCAACACACTCGGTACACTTGTCGATAACGGCTTTAAGGGCACGGCCGAGGTTCATCTGGACCGCCGCCACATTAGCTGCCAGCGCTGCCTTATCTGCCGAGCAGCTGCTGCAAACCCGTGTGCTACCCAACTCCAAGCTGCTGGACTCTCTGGGTGACTGCGGCGCAGCATATA